GTGTATGTGCATCTGTATGGCCATACCACTTTTTAAATCTCTCTATATTAGATGTTGGAATTTCTGTTTTTCAAAAATGTTCTGACATCTCTTGTCTGTATAGAAAGGGTGGCATGCCCCAGCAGCAGGAACACTTGAAAAATTTCATCACCAGAAATTTAAAGCCAGTAATACCCAAACATGACTTCCCTAAAAGTTAAAGAAGTCATTGAGATGGATGCAGGAAAAGAAGCATTAGATAGCTGGATTTTAGTTTGTGATTCCCCTGACAGCAGCATAGTAATACATCATGTTCCCACTGTAATACAGCAGTACAGCTGTATTTCCCAATACAGCCTTGATTGACTTAATTTCTTCTTCTTTTCTTTACCTTTCCAATGGCACATGGTAGTCACCTTAAGTATCTCCAACAAGCTGTTCTAAAAAGACAAAAAGAGCCCTGGCTTTCTGCAAGGCCAAGGAGCAGCAAGGAAGTCACAGGGAGCAGAGCAGCAGGAGAGTGAAGATTAGCACAAAGCTAAAGTCATGCAGCAGCAGGAGTAAGTGCAGAGAACAAACTTCCCAGGGAGATGGGCCAGTGATGGAGCCTTGTCCAAGGAAATCAGCATGAGCTACAAAGCACCATGGCAGAGCTGTGCTCAGGACTGCCTGGCACAGACACTCCAGGGCAGGCAGCATCCAGAAAGCAGCCACTGGAGCTGCAGCCAGGGCACATTTAGATGTGGATCAGACCAGCACCTAAAAAAGGATCAGCTGCAGGAGGCAGAGTTTGAGGTGAGATCAGGAGTTAAGGATGTGTGACCAAGGATGTTTCTGGTTACAGATTCCCTGTGAAATAGGTGTTGGGGAGGGCTCTGTTCAGTGTATCTCTTCAGGGCAGTGCTGTACTCTTCAGAGTGCTGTGATCCATGTTCATAATTTGTGTATAGAACCCAGGCCCTGCAGGCCATCTTGCACTTCTTTCTTACTCCTTTGGAAAAAAAACAACTGTGTAATCTAGGAATAAGGCAAGCTGCTCTCTTGGAAGTTCATTACGTCTTAATTATTTTTCTTGACAGATTCAGAAGGCTGCCTCAGCTGCCCACACTGAGCTAGAGGGACGCAAGGGCACCATCTCCCAGTATTTCACGACCTTACACTGTCCTGTGTGTGATGAACTGACCCAGTATGGGATCTGTAATAAATGCAGAAGCCAGCCCCAGCATGTGGCAGTGATTCTCAACCAAGAAATCCGAGAGTTGGAGCGTAAACAAGAGCAGCTGGTCCAGGTACGATTAAAGCATTGTCAGATGTCTGTCAGCAAAAGACAGGGTTGAAATTTCAAAGCAGTGTGTTACTGTGAATACTCCAACAGAAATGGTCCAGGTGTTAAATGTGCTGCAGATTGTTTGCTTTACCCATTGCTGTTGAAGGCAGCACAGCAGCTGTTACTCTCCTAGGCTTTGTGGAAAGCTAAGGCAAAGGAGGGGATCAGAACAGAAGAGGCTTTTCTCACTTTCTTCTGATTTTTAAGAGTACCTTATATGGTTTGTAGGTCCCTTTTTATAATGACAGAGAGCTGTGAGAGTGTAAAAGATTCACTCTTTTTTGCATTAAATAACAGATGATGTTCTAGAAACAAAAATGTTTGGGTCAGAAAATTTATTTATTTATATGTAAAACATGGATGTGGTTTAGCTTGGGGATTTTCTTGATACCTTTCCTCTCAATAGGAATTTTCCAAGCTGCTTTTTTCCTCTTGAGCTAGAAGTCAATTAAGAGGGTAGCTGACTGTGCTCATGAATATATTACAGCAAAGTACAATGCCTCCCCTTGTGGAAACATATGCATACCTTCACCTAATTTTCATACTGTCATATTTTGTAATTAATAAATATTTTAGTGAAAATTTATTTTTAGCAGTAGCATGTGAACCATTTTAAAAACTTGTCTGAATGTCAGGGATATAAATGTTCCCAAATCTAAGCATTGATTTGATAGGTTCTCATGGGGTTGTAATTCACTTCATAAATATTTCATTACTAAGGTGTGGACTTCTTGTTGTATTTTGTAATATTTGCTCTTATCTGCACTGTGAATGGCAGAAATGAGGAATTGCATGTTTTGCTGAGGTACTTTGAACTCTTTGCATTGCTCTTGCTCTGAAATAAAGCAGAACTTGGCAGGCTGGTCCAGACCCACAGAAGGGTCAGTGAGTTTGATTAGAACATTCTCTTGTCCCTGCAACACACAACAGCTCAGCAAGGCCTGGGATCCTGTCCCAGTCAGTGTTTGATGTCTCTGTAAGAGCATCTGTCTTATTTTAATGTGAAGGCTCATATATCCTTCACAGCTTAAATCTTTAGCCCTTTGAGATTATAAACATGCTGGAGCCAGCAGAAAACTGATATAACACTGAGCTGTACATTATTTTAAACTGCACTCAAAAATTATGTGCTCTATGTTAAAACCATAGACTTCTCCTCTCAACACAAATTGAACTTAGGACTTGTCTCAAGTACCATAGTTTGATCCCTTGTGTTTAAACCAGCCACAGCCTCTTTCAGAAGAACTGGGATAGATGCAGTTCTGAGGTTACAAAGCTGGAACCAGCTGTTTAAATCCTGTTCCTTCTGGTCACAGGATTGGTATCCTCTGAGATGCCACCTGTGGGACATGGCCAGGAGGGGCTGCCCCTCTCCAGCCATTGTCAGTCTGCAAGTATTTGGTGCTGAAGCAGGCCTGGCATCACCAGGGAAGGTGGAAAGAAGGAAAAGAACAAATTTAAAAGCAAAGGGATACAATTTAGGTTTATTGATTTAGCTATGCAAGTGATAGGATAAACTGTGTAACATTTTAATGTTACAAAACACAGGTGTGGTTGGAAGCAAATTTCTAAGGTTTTAGAAAAACTGTTGGAGGTGGCAAATGCTGCAAAAGTTAAAAATAAGAGCAAAGCAGGGGCCTTTAGTTTCTTAAAGGTGTCTACCTTTGGAAAAACTGCCTGCTGCTATTTTAATCCATCAGGTATCTCACATTAAAGTACTTTGAAGCAGCATTAACAAGTAATTCCTTGATCAAGAAGAGCAGTGCAACTTCTATGGCCTGTGTATTTCAGTGTTGGGATTGATTGACTCTGACTAGGTAAACTCTAATTAAAGCTTATCCTGAAATTAGTAATTTATTTATTTAAAGTCCCTTTTCTCTGCAGAGAGTAACTGCAGGACAAGAGTTCTTTCATACAGAGTAAGTTTATCACAAATAGAACACGCTGCCCTGCTTAAACCCAGTCAACTTATTTACCTTGTTTTTAAAAGTGCCACCACATGCACAAGTAGGACTTAATTAGCAGGATTGAAACCCAAGCTGTAGAGTTGTGCTGTTGCTGTCTGCCCAGTTCAGTGGATGATGCTGCCAGCCCCCCACCAGCAGCCAGATGAGCTGTCTGGCAGCAGCCTGGGAGGCTGAGGCAGAGAAGGGAGCTGCTGTGGGTCCCTCCATGCTGGGGAGAAGGGCTGTGCCTGTTCTGCTGATACAGGCTTGTGGAGTTTGTAGTCCCTAGTGGTTTGTGCCTTGCTTGTGTTGTTTAAAATAGTTTTTGCTTTTTCTTATGTGATACAGATATGCAAGAACTGCACAGGCTGCTTCGACCGGCACATCCCGTGTGTCTCCCTCAACTGCCCTGTGCTTTTCAAGCTCTCCAGAGTGAGCAGAGAACTGTCAAAGGCACCCTATCTCCGCCAGCTGCTTGACCAGTTTTAAATGATCTGTGTTACAGGATTCCAGGTGCTATTTTTTTTTCCTTCAGTGTTTACCACACTAAGACTATTGTGCATGGTGCTTTTTCAATTCTCACCTAGTCCAGGATTTCCATTTTAACTGTTGGGTTTATTGTCTGAAGAATAATGAACGCTTACCATAACTAAATTGGAAAAAAAAAAAAAAACTACCCAACCCATTTGTTGATCTATGAATAGCTCACTTTTTAAGATGTAAAAATTTCTTCTTCCTTTCATGTTTCTAACATACTGTTTTATAATGCTGATGTTGAAATAGCTCTGTGTAACATCTTGTAAATCCATTTCAAAGTAGAAGTCAAGTTTACTTCCTGGAGGAAGGAGCACTGAAAACCTCTTGAAATGATAAAACCATTCGTGTGTGTTCTTGAACTGTCAGTATCAAGACGTGTTACTTATATATTCTCCATTCACTTTATAATTTTGTCTGCGAAATATTTTGTAAATACACTTTTTTACTTTTCAAACAACTGAGTAAAATAATGTGCAATGACTTTTATACAGATAATTTTAAAGTTGGTTGGTATATCTCCTCCTAAGTTTTGCTTGATTCCAAGTAGATTGTTATTTTGATCAGACTGTGCAAGCAGTAGTACCATGTGTAGCATTTTGAAACATTATTTTCTAAAAATTGCTGTCTTGCTTTAGCTATTAATGGGGCATTGTGAGGAACTGTGCAAAGACATTTTTGTTACAAACCTGTGGGACTGTTGCAATACTTTAAATATAAAATTTTATTCCATTTTTGCTTGTTTTGTATAGACATTTCTATTGCTTCTAAATATGCTTAAAATATTTTCTTTCCTTACGTACTGTACAGTTAAATCTTATTTGCCACCATCTTGACAAAATGTGTATTTAGAATATTTGTATAACTGTATAAAATGGAAAAGGAATTATGTGGTCAGTGCATTGTTTTCTAAACTGGAAATCATTTTGTTTTAGAAGTTAATAATGGAAACCATATTAAAGTTGAATAAAATGATATGGTAAAAAATTATTTGGGTTTTTTTAATATTTACCCTCAATTTGTTTCTGTCTCTGGCACACACAAAAATGTAAAAAAAGACTGCTCAAATCAAAGTTAAGAATCCAGCTTAAACTTTGGGATCTAAAACATCGGTAGAAGTTTTTAGAGGCCTTCCCCAAACCAGAAGAGAAACATTTCCAGTTTTCCATTAGTCAGACAAAGACTGATTTTTAAATTTAAAAGTCTAGAGAAGGTTTGAAAAATAGAAGAAAACTTTATTTACATCAAGGAACCTGAGTGCCTTCTCCAGATAAGAATTTATTACAGTCAAGACACCAGTCTATTAAATGTCACATTACACAGTAAAACCCACACCAAGCAGAATAAAAACTATTACATGTAATAGAAAATCCACAGATTGCAATGCACTTGTATGCAAAGTAACTCTAAAAAAACAAAACATCAAGGCAGAAAACTTTGCCTGCTCTTGCATTCAAGCATTGGTCAAGTACAGAATAAAAGTGCAAATGCCAGGAGTGAGTGCTTGTAGTACAGTCCAGCACTTGGCAGTGCCTCAGGATAAATAAAGTATTAAATGACACTTAGCTGCAAGAGGTTACCTTTCACACTGGAGCAGAGCACTCATCTTCAAACTATTACTGGGTTTGTGGACAAAAATATGATTCTTATCAAATTCAGGTATCTAATTCATGGATTAAAGCTCTTGGCCTCAACAGAGGGATGGCTTTTCTAGCATAAGGAGGGCAATAGTAATGTAATATAGTAACTCCAAGTAATTTCAACCCCCAACATGTAAGTACTTGAGCTTTCTGGAGGACCTGTAACTTAAAATAGATCTGCATTGCAAATAGATCCTTACTTCAGCTGTAGATTGGAAATATCCTAGATCTTGTTTTAAACTTGAATTGCTTCAAGCATTTCATTTTCAGTCAAGGGCAGCCCCTGCTGTTAAAAGCAGGCTGGTTAGGGGATAAGAGAACACTTTCTGTCTGTCTATCCCAGTTCAAGTTTAAGACCAGAACTAAGACACTGAAGGCTCCAAGTCCTCATTAAGATGACTCTAAATTTCAGTGGAAAGTGATTCTATGTAGATAATTCTTCAGCTTCCATTGTCTTACAGCCACTGCTTTTTGGATCCTTTACTTGTGGGAAAAGGCTGCTCTTACCTTGGCATTCCTGCCTGTTGCTCCATTCCTACTACACAGGCCTCCTGCTTTTTAAGGAGGAAATGGGGATGAATTGAAGTTACTCTCACAGGAATTAATACAGGCAGGAAAAAGAAATCTTTGTTTTGTGCAATATTTTTACATTTGCTGGGACAACGCTGGTCAGAAACACAAATAAGTGTCTGTATAGATGCAGCAGGATAAGCTTCTAAGAGATTACAGCATATTTCCCAATGCAGCTTTGATTTCATTTTCTGGGGTTTTTTAGTACTTGATTATGCAAACAATATAAACTATCCATGTAAACTATCCCTGAGAACAGTCCTACGTGTAGGACATTCCAGTCTGGAATTTCATCAAAACAGCATTTCAACTGGGGGAGTTTGGAATCTTCCTGGTTTCCCAGTATCTTTCTTTAAATAATTTTCTTCTGGCACCATGATCTTGGGTATAGGGAAACTTTTTTATAGCAACATCAATACAGCTGAATCTGGGGGATGGCTGCCATAGAACAGTTTCTGTATCTTTCATTGTGTGCAGGTGTCCTGCACCTTCTCCCTGCCCCTCCACCAGGGAGATTTCTCCTCACCATCAGCTGACACCCCCTACTTCCCTACTAGAACAGCATGCAGGAGGGAAAATGGGAAAAGGAAACACAATGAAATGCAGGCTCCAGGTGCCCTCATTCCATCCCCTCTCTGCTTACCACACTGTTTGCTTCACTTCACACCAGCAAAGCACACAGGGCCACACAGACTCAGTCCTGTGCCCAGGCCAGGGCTGGGGCTGGCATTGAACATCCCTGGAAGCAAACAGAACCCTCGTGCCACAAGTGAAACAAGGCTGCATTCTAAAGTGCAGGTTCATGCATTGCACTGGAAAAAATGCCACAGAAGGAATCCATCAAAAACACAGCGGCATTTAAGTGCCAGCAGCAGAAAGAGAGGGAGGCTCTGCAACATGCCAAGCTATTAACAAAAAAACTTTCACTACAAGTTGATTCTGGCTTCTTATTAACTTCTCAGAAGAAAAGAAAAAGCCATTCAAGCCTAGGTTGCATAGCTGAAGGAAAAGAGAGGGAACAAAAACAGACCTGGAAATCCAGGAACATCTAACATTCTGTGCTGTTACACCTAGAGCCCTTTTGTTACTAAATGAAACCTCTTAGCAAGAAACACTAACAAAAGTGCGAAGTTAAAAACCCCAAACAAAGAACATTCTTATCACACAGACTTAAAAAAATACTTAACTGATTTGGAGCTCCAAGCTGACAAATGGCAAGATTACTGTTCAGAGACAGATTTTGCATTTACTGCTACTTTTTTCCTTTCACTGGGAGGGCTCCCTGGCATGGCTGCACCTGCCCAGGGTTTCCTGCTTAGCAGCAATGAATCTTCACATCCAAACCACTGCTTCTCCGCTAGGGAAAGTCCATCTCCACGTCATCCCCCAAAGAAAAAACCCAAATGTCACCAAGCCAGCTGGCCAGGGGCAAGTAGTCATTCTGGAAAGGATTGTCTCACTGATAATTCCCTCTCCTCAAATCTCCATTGTAACACATTCCCCTGGTAAGTCTTGGGACAGGAAACCAGAGAAGTTGTGATAACCTTTAACAACTGGCTTTAAAATACCATCTATTAAGCAATCTCTTTTACCTGAAGGGAGCCAGCAAGAAAGGTGGAGTGGGGACTTTTTACAAGAGCATACTGTAGGATAGAACAAGGGGGAATGGCTTCAAACTGAAAGTAGGTTTAGATTAGATATCAGGGAAAAAAATCTTTCCTGTGAGAGTGGTGAGGCACTGAAACAGGTTGCCCTGAGAAATTGTGGATGCTCCAGCCCTGGAAGTTTTCAAGGCCAGTCTGGATATAGAGTTCTGAGCAACCTGTTCCAGTGGAAGGTGTCCCTGCCATGGCAGCAGGTTGGAACTGGATGATCTTTAAAGGTCCCTTCCAACTCAAACCATTCAAAGATTACATGATAATTTTATCATCTTCTGTGTACAATTTTTTATTTCAGCAGTAGTGCCATAATTAAAATCAGAAATACTTTCAATTATTTAGATTTGTTGCCACAGTTTAGTAGGTTGGAGTTATGCATTTGAGCAGATAAACACTGGCCCATTTTGTGCCCTTTCTCATAAACTGCTTTTTAGTGACCCAAAGGCATGATTTCACTCCTAAGAAATGTACTTTTGGGCATTTCCTAATCTCCACATGGAAATATGCCAGCATTTCCCAGGGGTTTTTTGTCTTTGTCTCAGCACCAAAAATTCCTGTAGTTTGCCACAGGTTATTCAATTTACAGCTCCTGGGCACCACCAGAAATTTTAACTGATTTGATCACATACAACCTTCAGACACAGTAGGAGCATTCCTCCTTCACAAGGTAAGAAAGTTCAGCATTACTGGTAACAGATGTCCTTCCTCTGTCACGAAACCATTTTGTGACAGAGCATCTCAGACCTGCACCCTTCACTCACCTCAAAAAACTGAGTAGTCTGAGCAGTCCCCTTCTTTCCCAGTTATTACAGCATCTCTTCCTTGGATGCATGCCTCATATTTAGAAAGCATCTTTTACATTTTAACAGTTTTGGCATAGCCAAACATTTATCATGTTGCCCCTTTCACATCACTGAGGACTTTCCCACTCCAAGACATATCCCCACAGGCTGAAAATGAAAGAGGAGAAAGGACTGGGAAAATGAACATGCTGAGCTCTGCACCACTATGAAAGGATTCCCGAACCACTTGACAACAGCTACAATTCAATTGCATTTCCATTTAAAAAAAAAAAGTCAGTTTTGACTCTATTCACTCTTCTCCCAGTCAATACTCCCATTTTGTCTCCCAGGGAAACCATCAGCAACCACTGGAGGATCACCCAATGCATTGTCCAGATGGGGCTGGACAGCTGGAGAGTCCCCTGGTATCCTGTGGGAGGTGTCCATCAGAGAGTTTTTGAGCTCATCGTTCATTTCTACGACCTCAAAGTCTGCATCATTCCACTCTCTCACGTGCTCCTCCTCCTCCTCATCCTCAGTCAGCCTGGAGTTCGAGAGCAGAGTTTTCCGGGTCTCCCTGTCCCTCACTTCTTGCGAGTCACGCTGCTGGGGCCAGTTGGCCAGTTTGTACATGGCGGGGAAGAGCAGCGCTGTCACCACGGAGGTGACAAAGGCGGTGTACATGACCACAGGAACATGGTGGTACCTGCCCTGGAGGTAGCCCACCGCCACGGGGATGCACATCTCGCCCAGCGCCGCGCCCACCACGAACAGAGAAGCCGTTTTCCCTTCCACCACGGTGTACTGCTCGATCCAGGCGATGCCGCTGGGGAAGATGGTGGCCATGGACGCCCCGTACACGGCGCTGCCCACCCACAGCGCGGCCCGGAAGTGGGAGAAGAAGGCCAGGGCGACGGAGGAGGCAGCAGAGCACAGGAGGCTCATGACGATCATGGTGGCAGGGGACAGGAAAGCGGCGCCGAATATCGCCGCGCCTCTGCACGCGGCAAACGCGCCCCAGAAGACGGAATTCAGGGCGGCTGCTTCGCTTTCCTTCATCTCAGCAAAGACCATTGCATGAGTGTATACGTAGGAGCCATAAGTGACCTCAGCTCCCACGTAGAACAAGAAGAACACGAACAGGAGACCAACGAGAGGCCAGTGGTATTTGGCAAGCCTGTCCTTCTGCGCAGAAGCCTTTGATTTGTCTTTAGCTGAGCTGCTCTTTGAAAACAAAACAAAAAAGAAGATGGAAACTAAGAGAATATAGGTCCCTATGAAAATATAGGACCACAAAAAGCTCTCACTGCGATGGTCATTCGGTGCTGGTGTAGTTGATGCAGCCGATGCTGTCGGCACAGACTTGAGGACAGACTGGTTTGTCTTCTCAGCCCCTGCAAGTTCCTCAGATTTAGAACTCCCCAAGTCCATCTGAGCCACCATAGGAGCCAGAAATGCACCAGCAGCAAAACTAAAGTGCAAAGCCTGCAAGTGTGGCCCAGCCTCTGATCCCCAGGTGTACAGTGCCAGTACATTGCCACCTGCAGATCAGAGAGAAAAACATTCATTTTAGTCCGAGACCAGATATTGCTTAAAAGAAAATAAAAAAACAACAAAACAAAACAAACCATAACATATATTGTTAATTCAATGTACAATAATGCCAGGTTTAGCAAATACAATGTATAAAACAGCAGTTTACTGAAACTCTGCCTTAAATCCATGTGATTACTTGAGCTTTAGGAGGATATTCAGAGCAGTCAAAACAAAGAGTCACACACAGTGGCTTAATCCAGCAGCAATGGACAGACATAACTGTGCCAGGGGAGGTTTAGATGGGGTGTTAGGAAAAATTTTTTCGTGGGAAAGGGTTGTTAAGCATTAGAACAGGCTGCCCAGGAAAGTAGTGCCCAGTTAAGTCACCATCCCTGGAGGTATTTAAAGACGTGTGGATGTGGCATTAGGAACATGGTTTAGGGCTGGACTCAGCAGTGCTGGGTTAAGGGTTGGACCCAATGACCTAAAGGGTATTTTCCCACTTAGGAACCCTATGATTCTATGGTTCTAATTACCCTCCTTGACAATTTGCAGCATTTTTCAGCCTTTTTAAAAGGGAAATTTAACTGCTCCTCATTTCTCTAAGTATCAAAAGCAACAATGCCCAATGCTAAGAATCAGAGGTACAAAAACAACATTTAAAATTCATTAAACAACATCCCAGGAAAAACAACAATTCACTTGCTACTGATGGGCTGGGCCCAGCACCCCACTGTGTTCAAATGACTTTCCAGAAACAGAAGGGTTTACATCAGTACTGCTGTAAACACCAAACTACAACACCATCAGATCAACAATAGTGGTAGGAAATGAGATCTCAGAGAGGTATTTTGAAGTAGTCCCTCAGAAGAATGCAGGAAAACAAAACAGTAATCAAATTCTTGTGCTGCAGTACAGCAGCCCCTGTCACTCAGCACTCTTCCAAACCAATTCAGCTTTGCTTTACTGCCTTGCTGTGAGTTTCTTCTGCTACTCCTGCTCAGCATGGGGAGTCTCCCTGGCTCTGAGGTCTGATCCAAGCAGTACACCCACTGAAGGTATTTTTACCATTGGCTGACAAGATTTTCCAATACAAAGAATTTTTAAACCAAGTGCCATGTATAACAATCTTACCAGAGGCAGCAAATACAGCTCTGCACTCAGTTTATTTAACACGACCTGTGCTGTGCAAAACCATCTCTTCACTACTGGATCCTGTGCTGTGCTCTTTGTACATCTTAGCAGAGCTCCCCCAAGCCCCACAGAATTCAGGCAGACACTTCTCATGTGCAGCCATCGTTCCTCTTTGTTGCCAACCAGCCAAGCCACCCTAGCCAGGCCCTGGCTGGGATGCTTCCAGAGCTCTTTGGATGGCTAAGCTAACACATGAGTCAGCTCTTTCTCAGAAATAACCCTGCCCTGAAGGTGATCAGCAGCTGCTGTAGTGCCTTGCTGGTTAGTAAAGCCTCCCCAGGCTCCTGCAGGAGGGCAGCAGAGCCAGCACAGCTGCTGGGACATCACTGGAGAGGTGCCAGGAGGGGCTGCCTGCTCTTGCCTCACCACCACGTGCTGCAGCAATGCCAGAGCACTCTGCTGACTCTGCACCTTTGGGCATTTCCTAATCTCCATGTGCAAGCGTGCCAGCATTTCCCAGGCCTCTCTAAGCGTGCCCAAACCCTCTGCTGTGGCCTTGCCTCCTGATGCAAAGTGCCTGCTAAAGCCTGAGCTGCCCTGTCCAAGCCTGCCCAGGGACTCCTTTTGTGGGAGTTCATTTGTCACACCTCCAGCACAACTGACCTTTCTGACCACACCTGCACTTGCTCTGCAACTTCACCAACACATCTCAGGAACATGGAATCATTTAGGCTGGAAAAGATCCCCGAGATCATCTTCCTCCAATAATAATCCTCTGCTAAGAAACAGGGTTTGAACAGCAAAAGTGCTGGGTTTGGGATTTTTTTGCCCAGGCCATTTGCAGTATGCATATGCCACAGACTTAGAATCTGGGGACAGAACAAATTTGTATTCCCAGCCATCTAAGCATGGCTGGCCAAAGGTGGAAAACATCCCTTAATTCAGGGAGATGGGCACCATGGTGCAGTGAACTCCCAGCTGCAGGTGGGCAGCTCTGCCAACAGCAGCTGTAAGAATCTCAAATGCCAAGGCTTTGCCCAGGACTAGCTTAGGCCCAGCTAATGCTAATGAACCATGTCCTCACCAGCTTCCTGCAAATGAGCAATTTAAATAAAGCATTGCTTAAAGAGCACAGGGCACTTTCTTTATGCCTGTAATGGCCCACTGAAATGCAAATTGATCTTCTCCAGGAATCGAGAGATACCCTACTCCCCAATCCCTAAAGGAAGGTCTGTCACACACACACACACAAACACTGGAAGCCTCAGGACCAAACTAATCCAAGAACCACAGCCAGGTAAAACAGTTCCCCTCTTTTCATTCAAGATGCATCACAAGAAAAACCAGCAACTGTTTTGGTATGCTTGAAGTTTCCAATTCCTTTGCTGAAAGAACTATTAGAGCCCAGGGTCCCCTACCTGTGTCCAGAATTCCCATGGAACCTCCAATAACTGACATCAAGATGGTCAATAGCAGGGATTGGTTACACCAGGGTATCACATAAAGACCAGCTGCTGTTCCAAGCATGGAGAAGGCTGAAAAGGTTAAAAAACAAAACAAAGATATATACTCTCATACTACAGCTTCCATTTAAATAACACAGAAGAAGAATACAAATAAATTAATGGTTCCTAAAGTTACAGATAATCCTAATAAGTGATGCAATGTAAATACCTCAATCCACAATAGCAGCTAGAAAGTTGAACAGATCACTTTTTAGTTGGAAAAAAAAGGAATTTCATCAAACCTTGCATGACAAACTTCTCTGGCTAAAGCAAAGAGAGGAGTAGCTCCAGCTAGGACACTAAGAAGTCTTCTGCAAACTTCTGATTTAAAAAGTGACTTCAGTGTGAAACCAGTAAACCATGGGTTTGAGCAGTGTCAAACCTGTCCTCTGAGAACTGTACAACATTTAATTTGGCCCCATTTTTAAAAGAACCCAAATAACTAAACTCTTAAAAATCCTTTAAAGTAATTGCATCTTGCCCACCAAGTGATCTTCATATAAAGATGCTGACTTTTATTTCTATTTTGTTCTCACATAAAGGATGTATTCCAAGGGATTTCTGGGGTTTTAGACAGAACTACAACATTTCTCATAAATAAATTTTGCAGCAATTCATTACCTGTAATTATTTTGCCACTATTGGCTACACTTACAACATGCCATTTCAGAAAATATTTTTAGCAGATGGAAATTGTTTTTATTACCATTTGGGAGGAAGTCCAGTAGTTCAATTCTATGCTTATAATTGCCTCCATAATAAAACAACCTGCAATTAATATCTTGAACAGAAAATATTAGGTTCTTAGAAAGCTTGTACCAGTTCAACTGTCTCTATTATTTTTAAAATCAATACATGATCACAGATGCAGCAGATACTTAAAACATCAATGGGGCCCAATGTATTTAAGAATTTAGGTTGATTCCAAAAAAAAAAAACAGCAACAATGCCCAGAACCCTAGAGACCTAGCAAGATACTTGGAATACATGCCTCAAAACATTTTTGAAGGTGGTGTTGCTGAGCTGCATGAAGCAAACACCAGAGATTGGGAATACTAAGTGCAACTCCTCAGGTGCCACACTCAAACCTGCAAAGTAACTTCTCAGCAAGGGCTCAATTGTCCACTTCAGCTCTATGCCTGATAGTTAGTACTTAAAAATTTCCTTGACAAACACAGGTGACGTTTTCAATTTTTCCTCTGTATAGAGTTTTTCTCTGTAGCAGAGTTCCAGCAGCTGAAAGATGGGAGGCAAAACTACACAAGCCAAAATCTCTTACAGGCAGCCTTCAGATGATAAAAATGAGAACAGGTTCAGTATTTCAAATCATGGTCTTGCCGTAAGCACTACCAAACTGGAAAGGATTAGGAGATCCATCATTTCCCAAGCATTGTTAACAGACAGCTATCCTCAGGGAAAGAAGGAAATACTAAACTGTTTCAAGTTAACCTAGGTTTCTACAGGTGTCTGCACTGATTCCATTACAGGAGGCAAAGTCTGACTTGGTCAGATGCACGAGGGGGAGGTTAAAGGAAACCCACCCCACAACTGCACTAGCAATGGGAAAAGGGATCTTATCTGAACTGACCATATGATTACAGCATGCTCCTTATGGGAGGCACAGTTCCCTGAACTAAGGAGAAGAGTGAGCCCTGGTACACATTTTAATTCCTAATTTTGAGCACAAAGGCACTTGAAAGTAAAAAAGACAGGGCTTCCACTATTTTTGGTGTGGGAATGAGACACAACTCTAAAAGGAGCCCCTCCTTTCTGGATGCCGAGTGTGGCTCCTGGATCCCTGCTGGCCGAGCAGCCTCACTCTGCCTGGACAAAGCCAGTCCTGTGCTCCTACAGCAGCAAGTTTCCATAAGTCCAGAAAACTGTTACAGCCGGCAGCTGTGGTACCCACAGTTTAAATGTTTCCACCATTACAAACAGTAATTAATGTTTCCCACTGTAAATAAGTTAAAATTTGGCTACAGCCCTCCATCAAAGGCCGCAGGCTTTCGTCCAGTGCACGAAAACGAAGCTGATCGTGACTGATGAGTGCTAAGGAAAGAGGAAGCTCCCCCCATAGAACTGCTGGAGGTTTCAGCTGCACACACGGCAGCCCGAACACAGCTCCCTGTTCCACGCATTGTGCGGTGTCGCTACAGAAGCCTGTGATGCTTCAAGAGCACCTGCACTGTACCCATTACATGATGCAAACTAAAACCAGCCCGGTTGTTCTTTTCAGAGCATTGGTCGATCCATGCAGACTTTGTCCGTTCGATCCCAGTTCAGTTCCCGCTCGGCCGTGCCCGCGGGCCCGGGCTCTGGCAGCGACAGCCGCGGGCACCTGGGGAAACAGCACCACATCCCACGGACCCTGCCGCTCCCGGGGCTCGGCACCGCATCTCCCCCTGGGGCTGCGCTCGCTGCCGACAAGCAGAAGTTGCCCCGGACAGTGTCCGGGAGGGCGGGGCAGCACTCACCGAGCAGCAGAGTGGCGTTCATGCAGTCGAGGAGCACCCCGCCGAGCACCGACCCGCCCAGGGAGCCCAAGGACCGGCCCACGAAGATGTAGTAGATGTCGCTGACGTTCTTGCCGACATTGGCGGCCAGGGTGGGGAAGGTGGGACCCAGCACGGCGATGCTCATCCCCTGCAGGGGAGAGTGCGGGGTCACCTCGGGAGGGTCCGCAGCGCCCCCGCAGCCCCGGGGCCGCCCTCGCTCACTCATTCACTCACCAGCCCCAGGAAGGAGGCGCAGAGCGTCCCGGAGATGCACCAGCGCAGCGCGGCCCCGTCCGCGCAGCGCCCGCAGCGCCATCCGCCCCCGGCCGCCCTCGCCGCCGCCGCCTCCGGCTCATTCTCGGTCTCCTCCGCCTCGATGAAGGGGACGCGCAGCTCCCGGTCGGCCTCGGCCATGGCTCCGGCCGCCGGCTCCGAGGGCCGCTCCGGGCCCGAGGAGAGCGGCCCCGGTGGCTCCGCCCCGCGCACGGCGCCGGGAGGAGCGGGAGGAGGAGCGGGAGCAGCGGCGGGATCGGAGCCGGGATCGGAGCCGGGGGGCGGCAGCGCCGCGTCCTCCTCCGCCGGGGGCTCCTCCGGGGAGCAGGGCTCGGCGCTGGGGAGCGACATCGCCGGGGCAGCTGACACTCCACCCCGCTGGAAGTTTGTGCCACCGTGCCCGAGGAAGTGCCCTTATAAACCAGCATTTATTTTTAATCTGTGTTATCACTCAAACTGCACTCGACCTTTCAATCAACCGATCATAAACTGCACACACGGCAGGCGTGCAGGTCTTTGCCTTCCACAAGGACCGTGTTATGGCACGGTGATAAAGCTTCTGAAGAGAGAGAGAAAGCTGCTCAGTCTGCTATTAACACAGGCCTGGTATTTAAAGTTTGAAGCGTTAAAACTGCATCAATTCCAACCGCTCACGTGGAGCAGCTCACAGACTGTGCAACAGTCTCAGTGCGTGCTCCCCGTCTGGCACTGAGCTGCTGCTCCCTCCAAGAAAGGCTCTGAGTTTCACCGCACTTGGTAATTTAAGTGTCACAAACAAACAAACAACTCGAGAGATAATTCCAAACCGCACTGCTTTGTTTTGCGAGTTGTTCCTAACAAGTAGATGCTGGGATACAGCACTGCATGGACAGTGATGAGCAACCCATTCCCGTTTCTCCTGGCACTTGCAAGCATGTTGCAAGTCCCTTCCTGTTCGCGATAGCCTGGGTGCATTGAGGCATTAAAAAAAAAAAAAAAAACCAACAAAAAAAAGAGTGGCTGCTCGCTACAAGTAACACTGCCAGATAATATCTAAACCTGATCGTTCCCACGTTCTACCTTCGGAGGAGGGCAGAGTCTGCACCGTGAGGTATCTACAGAAAACTGCTGAGCTGTTCATACGGCCAGCAGTAGAGACAATTCCAGATAAAATAATAATTTCAACTATAAAATAACAGTAGTCACACACAACTCAAACCACATTTCTAGATGTTAGTATTTTGCCTGGTTTGAAATGCCTCCCCCAGGCTTCTCCTCACTGTTGTTTTACACACTTACAAAGAGGCTTTGTACATTGAGACTGTACAAATGGCAACAGCACCCAGGCACTTATAAAGGTTTTGGGCATCTTTTTCAATTCTTAATTTGAACTGCAAGCAGCCTAAGGAATAACCCCAGGTGAAAAGGGAATATTTCACCCACATCATCAGATGTATTTATTAAAGAAAATAAATATTTGGCTCTACTACAAAGGAAAGGTGAATGAATTTCTGGGACTTACTGAAGCTGTCAATGAGGAAACACTTCATGCTTCATGAACTGTAAGTTAAGGGAAGGTAAGGATAGTCAAGGGAAGTCAAAGGGAAATTGGTAGCAGGCCAGTAAATGATTAAAGGTCCCACTGACTTACACTGGCAGTTCATGAAGCAAAAATCAGAATTATTTTGAAACACCACTCAAGCTTATTGTACCAGTTTCCTTTCCTCCCTCCCTCAATTTTCCTTCTGCCTTTTGTGAATGCAACTGCTTCTGCAAGTTTGATATTAAGCCCCAGAATGGAAAATACAGAAGATAAATTTTTCAGAAAAAAGCACCTCAGTAGCTAGCTTACGTTTTTAAATCATTAGTCTTATAATGGGTTGCCAGTGCAATCAGAATGAAATGGGTTGCATCATATATTAATGTAGGAACAAATGTAATGGGGACATTTCAGTCAGACCACAGTGGCAATAAAAGCTGTAAAGACTTTTTGTGTGAAAGTCTTCACTTTCACTTCACTAGAGTCAATAATTATCAGAATACAACAAAATTACATTTCAAAATGATGAGTTTTACACAAGAATAGGACTAAAAATGATGCATGCAGTAACAAATGGGGCAATTATGAACTACCATCTTTATTCTGAATAATTTGAGACTGATCACAGTTACTTTAGCACCACGAAAAACATTAGACATTCATTTCTTACCCTTCTAACAAAGCAGAACTTGAAAGACTGGAGTTAAGGCTAGCAAAATGTGTACCCTTTAATATCAAAACCAACATACAAAATATGATGTCTATAAAGATACTTAAACATGTCAGTGTTGTCAATATTAGCAAACATTTTAGTATAAAATCGCTCTAATCTTAGCATATGCACTTCCAAAACATTACAGCTGTTGACACAAGATATGTATAGCCTAGAAGGCATTCTGCACATATGCCAAAGCTTACGTGACTAGAAACTCACTGGCTGGCTGGAACTCCACCGGTGCTGTGCTTGTCAACAGGGAGGCAAAGAAAGGCACCACTTCTTCCTCAGCCATCATTTCAGAGCTACACCTCCTCTGGTGAGATGCAGACTGTTCGTGCATGCCCTGGTTAAAATACATTGGATTCACAGATACACACACACACACTCCTAACAGCAGAGGGTCCTTTCTGTCGGGGCCCCAGCCCAGGCACTGCCTCTGCTCCCTGCCCCGAGGGCACGGCTGAGCCCCTGTGCAAGCAGCGGGGCTGGGAATGCCCCGAGCCAGCACAGGGAGAGCCCGGCTGTGTCAGCCGATCCCGATGGATGACCTGAAGGGTTGTGGCACTGATTCCCAACCTGAGACACACCCTTTGGGGCTGCAAGGAAGCACCTCCTGTCCCTTTGGCAGGTACCCCTCGAGGCAAGGAACTGAGCAGGACACTTCTGCTTTACAATGGCAGCGTCCCTTTTTGACACCACGGGCCTGTGATCAAAGCACTCATCTGGCACCCAGCCTCGAGAGCTGCTGCCTCCCACAACCTCACAACTCCCCCCACTCCAAAACCTGCCTGCTCCACCAGGCTGTGCCTGCTCAAAGGCTTCATCCAGGGAAGGCTGGGAAGTACCACCCATTTCCAGTGTGGTGGGCATCAGCTTGACAATCCAGTATCCCTGCAGGGAGGGGGAATTAAGTGCTCACACATAGTGCATGAGAGGCCAAAGGAGAACAGTGCCACTTGTCTGCCTCATCTGATGCGAAGTGCACCCTGAAGAAAGGCCATGGAACAGCTACAGCATCTTTGACACATGGGGGCAATTTTCAGAGACAATAAATTGCCACTGGAAATAAAATAAGAAAAATAATTTAAATTCTAATGCTGAACAGAGAAATACCTGGATGCAAGAAATTCTAACTACATTATAATTTGAAGTCTGGGTCTGAGATTTGTACAGGCCTCCAAAAGTAGCCAGGACAAATCCAACAATACTTTATTAGTTACACATTGGATCCTGTTGCATAGCTGAGATGTAATTAAGAACTCAAAGGGTTTCCATTATTTCAGACTCTTTGCTGAACAGTTTTCTGAAGATTAAATGGATCTCATACCTACTGAAAAGGTGTGAAACCAATAAAACCTTGCTTAAAAGTACCATTGGTTTCAAGATCTGGTGTATTAAATGACAGCATCACATAGGACTGGAAATTTCACACTGCCATTTCAAATGAACCTATTTCTACTCATTTTCTTCTTAAGATTTACCCTGAGAACATTCAATGAAAAGAAGATTACTTTGCTTATAAGATACAAGAATAATGTCTATAGAAAGTACTCTATGAACTGTTCTCAAGAGAGGGATAGATTAGACTGACTTAAGGGTCTTCTTGAATTAAGCTGCTATTTTAATTTTAGAATCTACCCCCAACCAGATTAAGGCTTGCATGATTTGGGTCATCAAAGTAAGATTTCAGCAGGTTCCCCATGAATAGGTTTTCACGCCTAAAAATAAATTGTTACAAAATCTTATTTGCATTTATTCAGTTAAAATAAAATTGAATATGCAGTCCTTTTCTCCACTTCTACAATATTAAATATTTTCTTAAATAAATTTACTAACTAGTTGCTATTTGTGTAGGGTTTTTAATGTTTTAGTTTGTTTGGGGATTTATTTGTTGGGTTTTTTTAAAATAGAGTCATCTAACGTCATTTTTAAAACCTCAGGGCATACAGAATCTAGTATCTATCTCAGTAAGTTTCTCAGTGGTTGGTCAGCCCCAGCACAAACAATCTGAATTTGTTTTTCATCTTACCTAGCTTTAGGACATAAACACCTTATGCTTTTGTCCAGAAAAGAGCATGTGCTACTGGACATTTCATGTCCAGTACACAGATACAAACTAACAGAAAAGACGCTAATAGAGTTCTTAAACAGTAATTTACTTTACTTCTTCTCTGAAAAGCCTTTCCAATTTTAGCATTGTTGCAAAACAGGCACTGCATCAGAAATGGGTTTGTTATTCCAATATCATCACACCAGCAGAGCCTCCTTCCCACCAAACTCTGCTTCCCTCTCATCCAACATCCCACTCACTAGCTGGTTCTACCATAGGAATCACTCCTAAACAATCAGTCATTGCACCCTCCTCACAGAGATCACTATTTCTGCAGGTTTTTTGGTTTGTTGGTTGGGGGATTTTTATAAATTTTATGTAAATATGAGAGTTTGGATTTTATTTTTTTTTAAACAGCATGGCAATAATTGATCCATACTATTGATATACCATTTCCATGTCATTTATAAATCTTTACAACAATTATTTTATATACTCTCCCAGATAATTTAGAGATGCAGAGCAGCAAGTTGGAAAGATGCCATAATTATACTTGGTCACAATCCTTTCAAATTGCACCAGTGATAAGAAAAAGCAGCAGCTTTGTTTTTGGTATAAAACTCAGGGCTAAAACACACATGAAATGCAAAATCTATGATGAACACTAATTTTTCATAACAGGACAACAGGAAACGAGAGTCTTTTACCACACTTAGCCAACACCACCTTCTGTGTTGCCCAAATGGAAAATAATACTGAATATCACGTTCTACAGGAACACTCCAGACAAAAGCAGCATTGGCTGTCAGCATCACTTTTGTAATGAAGGCAGTAATTTTAATTAACACTATTATGCATATTTCAATGACATTTTTAGAAGTACTTGCAATGTGCCAAAGCACAAGTCCCAGTGAACCTGAAAGGACCTTGGTTTTCCAGATTGGCTTTTCTCCCCCCACCTCCAAGTCCCTCCACATATGTCTCTCTATTTTAGACCTCACTCACGCAAAGTAGGGCTTGAAATTCTGCAATATAAAAAATGCCTGAGCTTTGGTCTACAATAATTAGAATGCTTTGCATGATTATATTTAAGGAACTTCTGTCAGTTGCTAGATGTAAACATTAAATGCAATAGTATTGCTGTTTTATATGGGTTTTCTGAGCAATTTACTACAACACTGGAAAAAGAAGAATGAAAATAAAAAAGATACTAAAGGCTATCATAAAAAAAAACCCAAACAGTATGCCTCCATGGTTTATGTAAAGAACAGTTACTAATTAAACAAAGCACTTGAATATGCATTTTTCCCAGATCACATTTAGTTTACTCTTTGCTATGATGGTTTTAAATGAGGCAACAAAAATTATTGGTATTAAATGGACCTGAAATAAAAAATTAAGTATTCCAGTGATTGCTGAACCATATCCATAGATAAGCAGCATGCTTAGAAGTGTTTTATGATAAACTGAAAAGCAGTGTTTTCATCTCAAAGTATTATGCTTTGAAACATTTTTCAGAAAAAGAGGTTACTTACTTGACAAACAGTGCATGATACCTAAGGATACATAAGCAGTGGGGCCATTAGTTTAGGGTGTTAAGAAAGAAATAGGACATGCAAAGGCATTTCTTTATATTTGAAAAAAATATGGAGCCATATAACCTACAGGCAGTTGAGCACAGCTATAA